TCAAAAGCTTGTGCTGTCAAAACTGAAATCGTTCTACCTTTTTATGTGCAAATTAGAGCTTCTGTCAAACCTTCAGCCATGGTGCATTTAATTTGTGGAAATATAAAAATATCTGGCTTAATATTAAAATATTCTGCAAGAGGAAGGAAATACTTAACGTGATGCATTGCAGTCAAGATTCTCAAAAAAATCAGATTTGAAAGAAAGAAAGTAATGTTTTAATAGAACTTATTTTCCCTACTTTTGCCAAAGTTCAGAGCAGTACTTAGAAGTGTACTGGAGTTATACAGGTGTTTGAGTATCTGGCTGGATCATGGCCTCTGGGAGTGAACCAAGTTAAATGTTAGAGTGTCCAGGGCAGTGGAGCTACATCCGCTTTGTTTTTCCTTAGAAAAGTGTTACAAGATGTATTTTTTTTTTATTATTTTTAATTAATGGCAGAGGTACTGGGAAACTTTTGAGTCTGGATTCAGTAAAGTTAGGCTAAAACATAAAAAGCAACTCCAGGTTTCACAGTGATCACTTGTGTTTCGTAAGGTCTTTGTAGAGAGGATAAAATTCTGATTATCTGAAGTTGGGCACCGGTTCTGTATTTAGGCTTCCAAAATAAAGAGCTGCCTGTTTTCCCGGCAGTGCCCGGATGCTCCACCGTTTGGGAAAGCCAGCATGGTGGGCCTGGTTGTCCTGCTGTTGGCCTGTTTCTGTTGGGAGAGGAAGGAAAATCGTGGTCTCCAACTGCAGCGCTGCCAACCGCCTGCAGGACCCCCTTGTCAGCATCTCCAGCTGCCTTTTGGCTCGGGCTCTTTTTGTAGCATTCCTGCAGGCCACTTCACGATTCATTCCCAGCTCTCCTTCTGTGACCTGGGAGCCTTTTCCACGGCTCTGTGGGAGGAGGGGTCCTGTCCAGGTTTTTTGCCCGTCGGTTTTTTTCCAATCAGATATTCTAATATCCCGACCTGTCTTTGGGGAGGTTTTAACGATGCCGAGTCCGTTTTACCTCATTATTTCCAAGGCCTGAACCAGAGACATTTGCCCTTCTGCAGAGCTGAGAGGGGAGTAAGTGGCTGTTTCTTGAGGAGCAGCCTCATTCCCTGAAGTGGCCTGTTCCTGGTGCTCAGGGCAGTGCATGCAATTATATCCTCTGGAAAAGGCCTCTGGAGCAGTGCATTGGTACGCGTGTGTCCAGGCTGGGATGTGCCCGGGAAATCACAGCCCAGGTGTTGTGTTTCCTGTGCCACCTGGCACACTCCAACACTCAGGTGGAAGAGCCCTTCCACCCACACCAGAATAGTTGTGACCACCCATTTCTCCTGTGCAGAGGGAATGAGAAGTATTTGATGAATGTTATCAACTGTCAGAAGTTCCTTTTGGGTGGTAAGTGATTGTCTCCAGGCATCCTGAGCACTCGGTCCTCTACTACTTTTAAGCCAGTGTTGTTAGCAAGGCATAATTCCACCATCCTGGGGTTTAATTTGTCTAATTCTTCTGGGTCATCTCTGTAAGGGAGTTTCCACAGGCTGAATGTGCAGTGCATTAAATGTGAAGGTGTTTATTAGCCCATTAGCCATAATTAATGGCAAGGCAGCTACTGAGGCTGTGGGTTGTCCCAGCTTTTCCCCACATTCTCTTTTCGTATCCACTCCCCAGCATGAATTTATATGATCTTCCTATTCTGCCTCTCACCATTAGAAACCAAGAAAGTGGTTTGGGTTGGGATCTCCTATTTCAGGCCATAAACATCTGATCCAGCCACCCCATAAAGTACATTCCTCCAATTTTCCGTGAATTCTCAGCTATACCCGTGGCACGCAGGGGAGCTTGGGTCTGGTCCCTCCAGCCAGAGGAAATCCTGCCCAGCGAGCTGTGAGGCACAGTGGGAATTGCTCCAGTGCTGAAGCTTCACCCAAACCAGTAAGTTGTGTCTTGGTGCTGCAGGCATGTTTCCCATGATTTATGCCGGGAGCCTCTCAAATGCCAGATGCTGTGCTGTGCCCATGACCTGCTTCCCTGCAAGGATTCAGGGATAAAGGTCTCCAGACTCCATGATTTGGGGCTGGAGGGCTGGTGGGAGGCTCAGGCATGGAGGTGAGGGCACTGATAAACCAGGCCACCTCCCTGACAACTTTTCCCCTGCCAGGAATGCTGCAGGCTCGTGCACTTGATACTTTAATTGGCCCATGTGCACGCTGGACAGCTCTCTCTTTATTATTGTTATTATTATGCAATCAGACACTACTTACTTACAGAATGTGCTGGAGATGCACTATTTATACAGAAACTATGTACACTGAAACCCATTTTCTCCATGGTGATTGCAGATAATGTGGAAAACTCTGGTTTGATTCATTAGTGTAGCAAAAGAGATATTCAGGATTATTTGGTATAATTCACAGCACTTCAAAATGCATATATTTTCATAATACTCTAAATCTACCTCTTGGGCTGGTAACTCAAGCATATGACAACTGGTTTGCCATAGTGCTGTCATCTTGAAATTGTAGTGGCGCCACTTTTTCACTGAAACCTGGAAGCTCGTTTAGCACAGGATGCCTGAGGAAAGCCCTGGAGAACCCCCCTGAGTGAAGGGCCTGGGAAACTGCCAAACTGAGAACTTGTTTTCACAGAATCGTAGAATAGCTTGGCTTGGAAGGAGACCTTGAAGAACATTTAGTTCCAACCCCTCAAAAAGGTGCAACTCCAAAGTGATGCTCAGGAAAAAAAAAAAAAAAAAAAGTAATTTTCTTTCTTGAGTTGAAAAAAAATAATCAATGAGTTAATTTTAATGAGTTAATTTTTATTAGAAGAAGAGTATCTTTTAGTATTTTTTTTTCAAAGTTTTGTGCCACTTGGTGGTGTTTTTTTTGGCAAGGTGAGTAAAGCAAACTCTTCACGTGAATCACTGGTACCTGCCCTCCCATTTCACATCCATTCCTTTCTTGTCTTATCAGGACCATCCTTCTGCCTGCACTGACCTGGCCATGGCTTCATTTAAGCCAGTGCTGGCTCAGCCTCCAGAGACTTGCCACTTACATTCACACAAACAAATCCCTGGCTTTAAGCACAGCTTTAAAGACAGAGTCTCAAAACTTTTTGTGGCCAATGGTAACCTCTGGCAAATCTTTGTAATTTGTAAGTGTGGGTACAGATTACTTTTTAACAAACGCAGATGGCAGTTTCTGCCAGCCATTTACAATTTTTTCGCCCAGCCATCACAATGGGCCTCACCACCCTCACAGCAAAGCTTGTCCAAGGCACCCTTGCAGACAAGATTTAAAATATAACTACTTAAGTGATTCATCTTTGTCTTACACTCCTGAGACCATAAAGTGGGGTTGGTTTGTTTTTTTTTTTCCTTCCCCCCATCACCCCTCTCTGACTTTACTGGGCACTGTAGTGTATTTGCACACCTCTGGAAATCAGTTGCATAATCTACACGTAACTTTGGTTGCTTGGTGAGCAGGGCTTTCCTTTCAGTATTACAGATTAAAATGCTCCAATTGTCATCTGAAAATCATCCTTTATCCCTACTGAGTCTCCTTGGCCCATACCTGGCAAATGGAAATGTGGTCAGGCAGCCTTTTCCCTCAGTTCCCAGCTTCTTCCACCTCTGAACCTGAGTTTGCACATGTACCTGATTTAGCCAACTCAATTCCCTCTAGTCAGTTATATATATTTTAAATAATTGTCTGAAAAAAGAAAATGCACAGAAATTATAAGGCTCATTTAACAATGAGAAGCTGCTTCCATTGCAGATATTCCCCCATGTATATATTTGCTTCTCTGTCTTAACACCTGAAATGTTTGGGAAAAAAATGTAAACGTGGCCAATGACCGCATTTAATGCAGGAGATTTTGCACCTCTGGGCTCTGTATTTATAGCTCTGTCATGTTCCTTTCTTGTACTGACCTGAAGAAGAGGATTTTTTTTTTTTTTATCTGCTGAAAAGGTTGTCTGTCATGGTGTGGTTATTGCAGCACAAAATACTGCCTAAAACTTGACCCTGAACAAATTTTGTACAAGGACAGTTTACCCCAGAATTCCAGAGGAGATGAAATCCTCCTCATGCAAGCCAAGGAAGCAAGCTGCTTTGGGTATATAAAACTGGGAAGAATCTAAAAATCCTTCCTGGAGCCTCAACTGAAATGCACTCTGATCCGAGCTGAAACCATTTTCCTCCTAGTGTTACTCCACTGAACTTGGAGTTTAACATGGATTAGCGTGGATTTTCATTGATGTGTGATTCAGAAATTTTAAAATTACATGTACTAATCATTGTGTGGCTCTAAAAAAATGAAAGGTACTTTTAGCCTTAGGAAATGATGCTGTTGTAAAACCTTACCTGTAACCTTGGCATTCAAAGAGGGGCTGTATTGTACTGATATCCACGGGCATCTCAGAGGGTTTTCCACTTGTATCATCCCGTCACCTGATGCTCATTCTTCCTGGAAGGAAGGGGAAAGCGTGGCAGTCAGGGCTTTTAAATGGGATCAGTTCTTTTATTTAAGAAGCCTGTAAGTACAAAAAGTAAACAAACGTTTGCAGTGCTGTTTTCCCCAGTGCTGCCTAGATCCCAGCATGGTCTGTACCCCCCACCCCGGGTTGTCTTCCCAAAAGTTTGACTGCCTTGCTCTTTTCTACCTAGCCTGGACTCCTCCTGCCCTTAATATAATTTGTGTTCAGAGACTTTTCCCAACCAAAACAAGGAATAATTTCTTTACAAATCAGTACCTTCGTAAATATCACATGCCTTTCACATTGTCTATGAACAGACTATGATTTTTACTTTTTTTTTTTTTTTCTATTAGATGTTGTTTATTCCCAAAATAATTTGTGGATGGAGGATAATTTTTCCTGCCTCTGTAGGAAATTGGTAAAACATGATGTTTGTGCAGTAGACAAAAAGTGCTGTGCACACAGACTAGTTATGTGGGGCTGTTTCTTTTCCCTGATTGAAGGGATATGGCTTAGGGAAGTTTCTTCATTTAAGAAAAGTGACGTGTTAGTTATCTGTGTTATTCATTCAGAATTGCTTTCTGCAAATATTTTAAGTGTTCTGGTTCACTCACTATTAGAATGGCTGGAGATAGTGAATGCAACCCGTGGTCCCCTTAAGTGTACAGGAAATATTTCATATGGCAGGGCAGGATTTTATTCTTAGCAAAACCACAATTTTAATTAAGGACTTAATTACAAAATACTTAGTCATTCTGCTAAGTAGTTGGTCAACCAATGCTCATGGGTCCTTTAGGATCCTACCTGAGTTACTCTTCACTGTTGTAATCAGGAACCTTCACTCTGGTAACTTTTGAAGAGCTGTAGGGGAAAAAATGACCTTTAAAATTAAAGTTGAGTGCATGAGGCAGCTCTACACCCCTGGCCAAAGGAGAGGGCTGCGAACCAGCCCTGGTGGTTTGTTTTTCAGTGAGACACAAAGCCAGGAGGAGTCCGTTTTCACATGCTAATGAAGCCCAAGGTAACAAAAATTTGGCAGAGCCTGATCCCAGCAGTTACTGGCCAGGGTATTACTTTTAAACATCACTGAATACAGACCTACAGCCTAGGCTGGTCCTAAAACTTCATCTGAAATTAATCCAGTGCCAAATGCCATCTCCCTAGCCCAGATTTTTTGGCAAAGTGTTTTTTGAAGTAAGCAATACATATTTTGTTAATTTAAAAAGTCCAGTGTACAGACCCTGGATTGTTTGCTTCCTTTCCAGAAATATACTTGAGATGCTAAAAGTCTCCAAAACATTCCCAGTGAACTCCCAAACTGAACCAGCAGGACAGGGTACATTCACATAGGGTAGATGCATTTTAGAACGTGTGCTGTGCATCATCACTACTGTCTTCCAACTTCAGCAATGCTTCAGGAAAAAGAGGGGAAAAAATCGAAGAAAAATATAAAGGAAAGGCTTTCTTTGGCTCATTTGCCCAGTTGACTTTGTAGTAACTTTCCGACAACAGGATTTACATAATTAATTTTTTTAATGCCAAACATAAGTATCCTCTGCATCCTGAGACTATATCATGTTAGTTGATCCAACAGGAAGGTGGTGCAAAATAATGCCAAGTGTATATTCACACCAGGCCATCAGGAGGCTAAACGAAAAGTCAATTTGAGTATTATCTTGTCAGCAAAAAGTAACATCTTTGGAGGTATTTTTAAAGTTCAGCTCCTGTGTTCCAGCCTCAACCCCCTGAGGTGTAAAAGCAACAGATGCCCATATCTGAGTCGGTGGGGTTGCTCTGAATCCCAGCTTGGGGAGGCTCTGCCTGGCTCTGCCAGGTTGGCTTTGTCCCAGCAGTGCCACCCGCTGTACTGGGCACGGGGAGATGTGCCCACAAAAACTCCTCCAGAGTAAAACCAAACAGCAAATTCCAGCCTCTGCCTCTGCCAGACAAGTGATTTTCCTTCAGGTGAGCAACAGCTGTTCTTCGCCACTTCTTTCTGAGCAGGAATTCAGCTCTGTGTTTTGACAGAAAATGTTTGAAATACAAAATTTTCAGGTGATGGGGACAAAAATTTCCAGTTCCTTCAAGTTACTGTGAAATCAGTAAATAAATAATCACGGGGTGTGGTATTCAGTTATCTCCCTTTCATTTTTTTCCCCCAGAAAGCAGTTTCCAGATGGATTTTCCCTAAGATGTTAATATTGTGCTGTTTTCTGTGCTGATTGAAGCAAGGTAGCAAGTGGTTATTACAGGCCTGACATGCCTGTTCTGCCAAGAAACAGCGTGAGCTTTCAACTCAGAAAACAAGGTGAACTTTGTTGTTTCATCAATCTGCTTGTGCCTGCCTTGGCCAGGTATGTGTGTTCATGCTCACAATGGGGATGACTTAATTCATGATCAGTTTATTTGGACTTTTCTTAGTCAAGGCTTGATTAGTAAGGGTGGAAACAGCATTCAACCTGAAGATTTTAATTAGTCTCGTTTTTACTTAGTTTTCTTCCTTGAAGCCCAGTGCTGCTGTTAGGATGTGTGTGCTTGTATTTGTGTGCATGTGCAGGCCCATGATTGTTTCTGCTGCTGAAACAGGCAACGTAGCTACTGTTTACCAAGCTGAGTTACTGTTTTGGCAAAGCATGGATATCTGGGGATATGAAAACTGCTCCTCCACCTTAAGGGGAAAAATTCCATAGGTTTTTGATTCCATATTTTCCAGTTTTCCACTCCTCAGTTACAGGCTCATGTTGGAAAATATCTTCCAGTGTTAGAACTTTTGAAAAGCAAACCTCAGAAACTGGTAGAAAGCTCAGTCTCCAGGCAGGACTGTCTGCTAATCAGGGAATAAATACAGAATAACACAAACAAATAAATATTAACTAATACCAAAGCACACCTACACTTCCAAATTGCTTCCGCTTTTCACATTCTTGCCAGTTAAGCAGCACGGCAGCATCAGCTTTCCTCACATATTGTAGCCTGAGAAAACAGCTTTAAAGGGCCAAAAGAAGCAAATAAAATGTATTTGTTATTCCTGCTGACCTTAGGCAGGCAGTATGTGGAGCTGCGGGAATCATACACGGAATCTCTGATTATAAGTATGGTGATAACTGGTAAGACTGTGCTGAACTACTGTGAAACAATTCAGGTAGTCAGCAAACAGGGCTAATTGCTAGTTTGGGGGATATTATGGGTAATTTACTGCCCACTGAGGGCTTCTACCTAAAAATAAGCTTTTTTCTTTTTTTTTTTTTTTTCCCTTTGGACAGCACTTGCATGTTAATGTAGAATTCCTGATGCAATTACATGTGAAGAGGACATTCAGATGCACTTCCATAAATGCCCTTCTGCTTCTCAATTACAGTAACTGTCTTTGTAGATCCTTTGACAGAAACCATATTCTTCACCTTTTTTTTTTTTTTTTTTAACTAGCAAACAGGCACCAAGCTAGACTTTGCTGTTATCCAAGATGTCCCGATCAAAGGGCTGAGAGTAATATCATAAACACAAGAAAAGAAACTACTGGTGGTTTCCAACGCAAACGAACGGGGAAGTGTCAAGTGAGCAGCTACTGACAATTCCAGCCCCGAAACCAAATGTTCGTGTGCGAAACTCCACCTCTGAGAAGGAAGAATAAATACCCACAGAGTGTTTTGGCTATAATTACTTCATTTAAGGGGAGGTGGGGGAAAAAAAAAAGTGCTGAATTCAGTTTGCTGAAGTCAGGATATTAATATTTTTGGCATGTAAAGATGTAAACCAAATGTTTAAACGAAATGTCATCCCCCTGGGTTCGCATTTGCCCACTGAACTACGGCACAAACCCTCTGCAGACCTTCATACAATACACATTTTTCAGTTCATTGAAGAAGGCCCCTGCTGCTTCTCAAGGAAAACTAACTTGCAGAAGCAAAATAAATAGCGGCGTGGCCGCGCGGCAGCGGAGCCTCGGAGCGCAGATGTGCGAGCGCTGTCGGCCGCCCCATCAGATAAGGAGCGCTCAGACATAATCGCCCCAGTGTCTGGGACACGTCGCACGCGGCGGAGCTGCCCAAGTATGGCCTGACAGGCACTCGCAGGGTGTGCTCGGGCGAAATGGCAACGGGCTGACGGCGTTTCATAACAGTCCTGTTATGTCTATGGGCAAGTGTTTGTGTAATTTAGCTGGGGCTTTGAAATAGGTTCAGGGCTCGGGACACAAACGGGGCTTTGTGATGAGTTGTCGGTGATGTTGTACCTGCTGGATGAGGACGTTGGCCCGAGGAAGGGAAAGCCTTGGGGTGTCGCGCTGGGAAGCCTCTGTCGGTGCCGTCGTCTGCCCATCCAACCGGCAGGGCTGCTCCTGGAAAAATATGTATGTGTTTTTAGATCTTTGTACAGGAGAAGGCCACCATGATGACAAGAGGGGTGGAGCACCTCTCCTCCAAGGAAAGGCTGAGAGAACTGGGATTGTTCAGTCTGGAAAAGAGAAGGCTTTAGGGTGACAAATACATATCTATCTATGTGTGTATATGTACAAATATAAATACATATCTATACATGTAGAAAATACAGTTTTAAATATAATAACTTTCTATATTTTATATATGTTATATATGCATTTTATACATATATATATCTAAGTATAAAACCAGATGTTTGTAAATATATAAAATAAATATATGTGTGTATATATGTGACCACATGTTTAGCTGTGGGCCCTGCTACACTGTGGCATGCAAAGGGTTACTGATATCTGCTTTTAGGCAGGACACCTCTAAAAAAAAGCAAAGAAAGTGCATTTGACCCTACAGAAATACAGCTCGCTGGGCCTGTGGTAGTTCCTATTAAGATATACAAAGTGTCTCAGCAAGGGAAAATTTAACTTACATACAACACATGATTTTAAGTAAAGAAATATTGATGGGGCGGGGGGGAACAAGTATTTTTTTAGCTCTAATTTATGGCTGAGCAGCTTCATTTTAGTTACTTCATGGGAATATTTTAAACCAAGCCTGCATAATATTAAAATAAGTTAAAATGTATGTAAAATTTATGAGAGCATGTCAGGTGCAATGCTTGATAAAGTAAGTTTAATGCTTCAGAATTTTTTTCTTCAGGCAGAGAAAGCTGAATCCTGCAATTCTAGGTTACAGTATAATTTTAGAAACTCTTTTCCATTATACCGTTCTTTTATTAATGAGATCCAACCCAATTTAACAAAAAGAGGTAAATTCCTAAAGAGTTTGTGGAAAGTCCTCAGCAGGTTGGAGTGTGTGATAAAAGAGGGTATTCTCCTACTGTTCGTAGGATCTATCCCATTTTATAAAAACACAGAGGAAATCAATTTACAGCAAACTTTCCAAGTGTGCCCCTCCAGTGCGGTTTTCCTTCTGGAAATGCAACCTGGCTCCGTGAACAAACAAAAGCTTTGCCAGTTGACAGGGGCTGTGTATCACTTTGAAAACTCTTCATTTACCAGGGGTGTGTCATGTTGCTTCATTGTGTGGCACTCCCAATTATCGTGACAGAGCTAAATGACAAAGTACTGTCACCCCTCTGAAAATTCAGAGCAGCTCCTTCCCATTTTTCCGCCTGGTCATGGGAACATCGCTGAGCCGGTACAAAGGAGCGGCAGGAGCCTCAAACAGGGGCTGGAATGGCTGCATTCTGCTCTGCTGTATTAAAAATTCAGCTCCTTGGCAATATTAAATCCGAATTTACTTCCATCAAACGGAAACTTAGCATATCTCATTCTTCCATTATAAAATATTGACATCGGGAATAGTGAATCCTGAAATGAAGATTGTAGATGAAAACTATGTGCTTGGTAATTATCTTTTTTTTTTTCTTTGTTATTATTCCTTTCCTCTGAGGATTGCACAGGCTGTTGCAAACAGTAATGAAGTTAGCATGCAATGCCAATGCAAAGTGTGCTGCAAAGTTAGCCCTTCCCTCATTATGGATGAGGGAAGCGAGGCAGCGGGATTGGGGTGATTTCCCCAGCCAAACTCGCGAACAAGCGGGGCAGCCCTTCGCCTCACGTCTTAATCACCATCCCTGGTGATGAGACCCTCAGTGCCATCTTGTTCCTGTCCTCTTTTGTTTTGCTACTTCCCTGGGTTTTTTTAGGTCTTTACTGGGGCTCAGAGCTATTAATATCAGTGACACATTTTTTTTTATCACAAACTAAACAGCCGGTTCAGAAATCCTTTCACTCCCGGCAAATCCACTGCCCTGTCTTGTAATGTTCTTGAATAAGCACAGTACTGGAAAATACAGTTACAGGCGTGGAAATACCCAAGCAATCATCCCAACAGCCACAGTATGAAGAGATCAACACACTGGGCAGTCAGCACTAGAATAACCCTTTGGTTCCTGCCTGTGGAAGTTCCACATGGCTTGGGGTGGCTTCCCAACAGAAGAGCTGTGTCATCACCCTCCTGAAATTCAAACTTGGCCAGTTAACTGGTGTGTGTCTCCAAGGTGATCACTCAAGAGAGGCCCCACACAGCATGGTTTGCAGGTGCTTACTGAGCACCTCCACATACTCCTGAAGCCTCCTGGTTGCCCGTGGATGTGCCCGAGGAGCACATATATATATACAGCTGGTGTCACCGGACACCGCGTCTGTCTCAGAGGCTTCGTACAAAAATCAATCTAAATCAATAAATTGTCCACCCTCCTCCTGCAGCATTTGCAGAGGTTCAAAGACAGGACCAATTACTCTTAAGGTTGAATTGTCAGGTGTCAGATGAGAATATAGAAATTGAAGCATTATGTTTAGGAGCAGATTTATTTAGAGGACCTGAAGAATTTGCTTTGCTATCAACAGGTCTATAAAGAGAGCTTTTATAGTACATCTGGCAGAAACTGATTCCTTGAGAAATAATAGGGGGAGTGTTGGTTTGGATTTTTTTTTTTCTTTCCTCTTCTTTTTGCACAATTCAATCACAAAGCAGGTAAACTCACACCCAGGCTCATCGTAGTCAAGGCAGTTAAGCTCCTGACCTTGAAGGGCTTTTGGTCCCAACCCTCCTTGCCAAACACATTACCCTTTCATTGCCCAGTTTTCTAGGTGAAGATGAAAATTCCCCCTGCTTCACTTATGGATAATATAGAAATGTCTTTATCATGCATTCAGTTTCTTGGGTTCAGTCCCAAAACTGAGACCCCGACCACTCTCCAGGTCCAAAGGTGAACCTTGTTGTCCCTGCCAGAACCGCAGCACACAAATACCACACCTTATTCTAATCACACAAGATGTTCTCGAGTTTACCAGTTCTTATCCCAGAATATCAACTCCCCCCCCGTCTCTTAGCACTCCTGGCAAATCAATATGCATTATTATTACGTGCTCAGATACAACATCAGATTTCTGCTCATGCCAAAATTTCAGCTTGCTGTTCCCTGGAGTATTTATGCTTGTGTACTGTATTTAACAACAGCCCATTCAGAATGCTCACAGCTCCTAGGAATGAAATGCACATAATTTAGGAATAGCTGTCTGGCTATTCAGGTATCGTGCTGTGTCAAGGGAAAATTAAATCTCTGACTCTCCCCTCTCTTTTAAAACAAACCTGTACTTTGCATCATATTTTGGGGAGCTGCATGGAAGTTCCATAAAGAGCGAGCGAGCATTTCCTGTTTAATGGCAGTGCCTCCCCATTAATGCTCCAAAATGATACAGTAGTTTAAAAAAAAAATGCTCTCAGCATGCAGGCATTGTATCACATTAAGAAATCACGATTTTCTAGGCACTGCACAGCATTAATTACACTGAGCATGCTGCAAATTTAAATTAAATGATATGCCATGTTCTGTTGTAAATATCAAAATGGATTGCAAGATACAGCCCCATATTTGCTTCTGATTGGCATTTGTGCACTGAACAGGATCAGAAAACCTCTATGATATATAATTTCTTTTTGTTTTATAGGAGCACCTAAAGTAAATGTACTTTTTATTTTCAGGAGAACCTAAGAGCACTGTTATGGGTCAGAACTTGTCTGTACTGAAAAAAAAAACCCAACCAAACAAACCCTCCCTCACAAATAATAATAATAACAAAAAAAAGCCCTGTTTGCCTTCATTCCCCCCTCCTAACATAACAAAATAAAATAAGTTTCTCTCCCCACAACTAGTACTTACAATATAGGGAATGGAGGGGCACTGAGAGGAAAATGGGGAATATGAGGGACTGAAGCAGGAGAATCTTATTTTTGTCATGGAGTTGAGTACCCAGGGTACAATTAAGCAAATGTGGGGTTCAAATCACCCCAGGTGAGAAGAGCTGCTCTTTACAGCTGGAGTTTTAAGGCAGATGAGGAGTGAGGGGTGAGCTGGTCTTGGCATTGGCTCAACTCTGTTGTGATGAGGGAAGCCTGATCTGATAATTCAGTGAGAAAAAGTGAAGAGAATATAAGCAATAAAAGAAGCTCTGTTATTATTTGTCTTTTTCTTGGCACAGGTATTTTGCAATTTTATAATACCAGATTGACTTGTCACAATCTCACGAGCCTCTGCCCTTCAACACCAGGGTGAGGTGTATTTCTAGTGTAATTTCACCTATTTCTATGTGATTAAATACTAAACAAATATTTTACAACTTTGCACATCAGAGAAAGGATGGCATTTAGTTATTTGTATAGAGACAACATTAAAAAAAAAAAAAATTGTATTTTCAAAGACTGATTTAAGACCTTTAGGAAATGATGAGCCCCGAGCTGAGAATCACAAGGTGAATAGGCACAAAAGCTTGAGACATAAAGAGAGCACAGCAAAAAAAAGTGGGCAGGGACATGCAGAGCTACCAAGATGTCTTCAAACCCAGGATCACCATATTCTTTCTAAATTATCTTTTCTGTGTCTTTTGCTTTTAGGACTTAACTCCAGTTTTCCTGGCCCATTCTGCAGCAGTCTTTTATATACAAGAACAACTCTGGAACAAACAAACAAACAATAAAATAAAAAGAGCAGCCTGCTCTAACCCAGAACAATGGATGGACATTGAAACCAAGCTGAGGATGCCTCAACCTTCTAAAATCCTTTTCTCTGAAGAAGAAATTCCACTTGAGTCTCCCTCAGTTAGTCTGAAATATGTTTCTGCTGGTCAGGAGTGAAATATTCTTATGAGCCTTATTTTTTTTCCCTACTGGGCATCAGATAAGACAGTCTTTGTCCCAACTTTACTGGAGCTCCCAGTGTCTCCTTTGGGAATGGTTCTGTGTGTTCAGGAAGTGGCTGGTGACAATAAAACCTGTATGAACCTGAGATGGTTGTTCCTTTATGCATCAGTGTCTCACACCAAGGTGGCATATTCAGCTTTTAAAAACATGCGTTTCCCTGGGAGCAGCACGAGGACACTGAAGGGTGTCTGACTTTCTCCTGTGCCCAGGGGGTGGTCAGTCAGGGGAGAGGGACACCATCAGGCAACCCCTCTCCATAAGCACTGTACACCTGATGAAAATAGGTGTTTGAGAACTGGCCTTCGGCTCTCTCACCATCTTTCAGTGCTTGCAGGAAAAAAAGAAGACAAAAAAACCCAAGCCAAAGATAGTTTATGTGCAACTCAGGAAGCTCTCAGCAATGAATGTGTCTGTGATTTAATAACACATCTACCCAGAATGACACTTCTCCTAATATTCACTGAGAGAAAGAAGGCAGAGCAGTGTGGGGCAGAACCAGCACACAGGGCATTGCTATTGCAACAACAAACAGCTAAACTACCATATATTTATTTTTCAATATGCACAGTTGTTGGAATTGGAGAATGAAAATTATTCCTTGACACTCTGATGGAACCATAGAAAGCCCTGTGCTTCCCCTCACTCCCATGGTCCTGACAAGAAACAACTCACAAATTCTAATAAATAGAAAATAGAAATAAATACTTTAACTACTGGCATCAGGTTGGAATGGTTTTCTGAATTGGGAAGTGCTGCTCGTACGTCTTCCTTATTTCTACACCCTGTAATGGTGGCTCTCCAAAAGTCAGACTCAAAGTGAGATAGATTCTACAAGGATCACAGACACTACACTGGGAAACCAAGTATCAATGGTGCATCCAGATTTATGGTAGGTGATGGCAGTAAAGTGAAAGCAAAACTGTTTGCACAGTCTGTATTGTTGCCCATTACTGTGTATTTGCCCTTTTTTCTTGCTTAGCCACAGCTGCAAGAATGGAAAATTGTACCTTCTGTACAGTATTAGGAGACACTTTCTGATCGTAAGGTCAATCAGACCAGTTTAGCTGCTTGAGGTATTTATGGCACAATCACTCAGTGTCTTTAAGGAAAGGTTAGATACATTTATGGGAAAGGTATTTTGCAGAAGCCTTCCTGTTTCATTGAGGTCTTGGACAAAATGACCCAGGAGGCCCCTTCCAAGTCTATCAAATGTGGTTCCCTGATTGATGCTGTTTCCCCCCAAAGTCTTTCAAAACACAAAGCACTGTTATAAAATTTAATATGATGCACTATATAACTTTAACACAATGCCATTTTCTTACAGGAAATGGTTAGCTGGTAGCAAAGGAGCCTCGTGCAAAAGGAAGAAAAGGAGGAAAAAAAGAAATTGCAGTGCAGTTTCTCTGCCAAGGGATATCGACTATAACATTTACACCGTGTCTTAGTATGGACCCTCAGCTGTGCAGGGGGACACCGAGGCAGGGAGGGATATCAGTAACCTGGACTGTGGTATATATTTCTCCAGAAAAGCCCAACAAGGCCTGAGGTAATTTTCTATGCTGAGCAATAAGCATTCCCTCAGTGCTGCAAAGCAAATGGACACTCAGATCTCCTTGTAAATCACAGCTTGGTGCTGTAATTTGCTGAATGTTTCCTAAATTGACTATTTTTTTTTCCTTTCAAACCATTCACATATTTAAAAGTTAAATTCATGTTAATGGATTTTTTTAATTTTTTTTTTTTTAAATAAAAACAACTAGAATCTCTGGGTCGTTTGGTTGAGATGTTCTGGTTGGCCTCCACTAAGTTTTAATTTTATGTTCTCACAGGAAAAAAGAAAAAGAAAAAAAAAAAGAGAATAAAAAATACCCAGAACTTTATTGGAGTTTACCCTCAAACCCATTTTATACAAACCTTTTTATTTCCACTCCAGCTGATTTAGTTAACAGACAAACTCCTCTTCCAAAAAACAGCTCCCAGTCCCGTCTTCTTGGGATAACCCTGACAGGAAATAACAACATCCATACACAGACACTCCGAAGCCTTTTGAAGTCTCACAAATGTGACCTGTTCCCTTTTGCAGAGCAGGCTGGGATTAACTTTTTTATTAACCTTCTAACCTCATCCATGAGAAAGAAAAATAGCCAATCCCCTCCCGCACCCTTTTTTTTTTTTTTTTTTTTTAATTTGGAAGCTTGCGTCCTTCTTTATACCTAAACATTCATGTGCTCACTCTATCAACAGGAGAAAAAAAGCCCATGGAAAGCTCCCTTTCCATGAGGAACTCCCCAAAACCCCTCTAGGGCCCTCCTGTTATGTTTGTGTTTTCATAGGAAGACATCTTCCCTTTACAATAAGGCTTGGGTCTCTCTATGTGAATCATATTGGTAGGAGCAAATCACAACCTTTTCATTCTTTTCTACGTGTTGCATCGATGTATTTTCCTGATTCCTGTGTCAAAAGAAGTGACTTTTAGCAAAAATGAAAAATCTGACCTGGCTGTAATCCTGACAGTGCTGCCATTGCTCATCCTTAGCTCCATCCCTGCATTGCAGTGCAGAGGAGGCACTCACGTCGGAATAGCTCTTCTCCCTTCAGACAAAACGGTAAAAATTAGCCCCAGAGAGTGACATGAGCAGAAATTTCAAAGGCAGGAAAATTTATCTCCTGCTCTTTGTCTTACAGTATGGTGCACTGTAGTGGTTGGAAGATTTAGCTTCCCAGTATCCCATCTATATAAATCCTACTGGACAACAGCTCTCCGGCTTCGTTTTCAGGGCGGTTGAGCTCAGCAGCTGGAATCTGCCAGGGAAGGAGGGTCGAGATAAGGAAGGAGAAAAACTTGCTTGTAGCTTTCAGGTGTTGGTCAAGGGTCAAGATTAGGAAACAGCCAAAGCCAAACAAACCTCTCAGCTCCATCTCCCTGGTGTGTCGCATGAGGTCACAGTTATTTGGCACAAGGACCATGATTTTGGGCCACCCCTGTCTCTCCTCTGCTGCAGCTTAGCCCATTAACAGCCCTGATGATACAGTCCCTCTTGGGGTTTCCCCTTTTGAAAGATTTATATTTGGTTTAAGTCAAAATTGAAAACTCCACTTTAGCTTTTAGGAGGCCAAGACACTTAAAAATCTCCAGTGGGAAGGACAAGTGAGGGAGGCAAAATATCTCTCCCTTATAAAGGCATTCAAATGAAGCCACTTTGATGAGAAGTTTCCAGCTGCTTTGATGGGTAAAAAGACACATCCCAGCCCTATCATGCAGGGATGCCCTTCACACCAACAGGCAGAGAAAAGAGGTGGTGGGAAGAGTGAGAGGCACCAAAATAAAAAAAGCGGGATCCAACTGCATTTTTTGTCTTCTTTGATCTTTGAAAATGGGAAAACCCATGCAGGATCAGGAATTTCCAACCTGGGTTGCATGCACCATTAACTGTGCCATGAAGCAGAGCTGGTTTGCTATTGTTGCCTTCTCCACAAAAAGCTGTTACTGTGAGCTCTTTGGGGCTCAGGAACTCCATTTCCCAGTTTTCAGTTAATACTTCAATGATTACACATAAATAATAGTAATGGTAATCATAACAATACCTGGCTTGCCATTATGTTGTACTCAGGGCTTTGTGATGCCTCTCTCACGATAAAATCTGTGTATTAAATACTTTAATTGAAACTCTTATTAAAACAGAGGTATTTTCACTTGTGCAGTTATGTTCACATAATGATCACAAAGCACTTTACAGAATCAAATAAAAGTAACCAGTCTGATCCTTCTATAGAAGATTTTGTGCTATAACAAAGCTGCTCTATAGAAAATAAATTGTCAAACATACCGTATTTTGGGCTGAGCAGCCTCCAAAAAGCTTGGGGTTTGTCCTTCAGATTGTTCTCAAAGTCTGTAATGCCACCACAAATGACACAAGAGGGACTGGACAGTCTCACCAGTTAGACAAGTGCAGGCTGTGAACATTTGTGCCTGTATCAAGCCCTGGTTCAGAAGGAAAATAGAAAAAAAAAAAAGGTTATAATTTTCCTGGTTTAGGAAAGCCTTGATGTGCCTTGGAGCTGAGTACTGAGCAGCCTCCATGGGGTCACTGAGAGAGGGCAAGGCAAAACCTGCTACTGCGAGTTCTAACTCCAAATGCTGCCTCACAAGGTCTGGGAGGGCTCTCAGGCTTTGGGCCTCCTAATAGGTAGTTCTGGAGCTGTGAGATGGTGAAGAGCTTTGTTCCCTCGTGTATAATTGATAAATTACCATTGTTAGTACTAAACAATACTACTGAGCACAGAATGGAAACACGCTAATGCTTTATCCATTTCGAGCAGTTCTGCTCGTGTGCTCACACTGTTCTTAAATGCGCTAGATATTTGTTTGATGAAACAATAAGTTTCAGAAAAGAGAAAAATAAGAACTTTAAAGATAATAAAAACCTTGACTGCATACTTTACGACAGGCAGCTGTGAATAAGCTTCAGTACTCTTTATTTTTAACATTCCAGATATGTAATTTAATGCAGGTCTAATGACAGTCTCGAACATACTGCTTTAATCGAAATTGTTCAAGCTCTGTTCTGTGACAAGGGCTCACAAGCTACCAGCAGGGTTGTCCATTTTCCCCATTTCTGTAGGGAAAAGAAAAGGGAGGGGAGGGGGACACTCTTGAACTTATGTTGCTATTGATGTGTAATATACAATAAAAAAACAGTTAAATTTCAATTACCCACAGGTAATTATAATTTTATTGTTTGACTGTACTATGGGGATTTTTGTAATTCCCAAGACTAATAATTTTCTATAATTTTACAGGTTGTCAAATAAACTATTAAAGATTATCTTTGAAAAGGATTCTGCAATTGTAAGGACATATCATACTGTTCCTGTACATTATTAGTAATTAGAGATCCCTGGATAGTGAAATATCTGCACTATATGCTAGCTGCTGGATACCATATTTTCTCACAGCCTCCTGTAATCTTGAACCAAAGCTTTCAAACTTCTCAGCCATTGTAGCCTGAGTCACGTCCAAACTTTTATTAATATTCACTGAGCACTCATTAAGCAATTCTGGTGCGTTCGATACTTTAAATCTCTGCTTCCTGATGGGGAGCAGCAAAGGCTCCCAGGTCCACCCCGGAGTAGTGGAAATAAACACAAAAGGACTAATTCTGAACTCTGTCCCCCTGATGGGGATATGGGGAAGCAGCAACGTCTGTAGCAGCACAAAAGATCTGAATCTGTCCCGAATGCCTTTTGACCGTGACGTGGCTGGCACAACAAGAGGGAATTGTGCTCTCCAGATTTTATCCTGAAAATAAGCATAGATGCAGATATGCTTGGGATCAGCATTGGTTTAACTCAAGGAGGGGGAATGGGATGGGCCAAGTCTCCAGCCCACAAAAAGTTAGAGATTTTGGGGTGTTGCCTCATCCTCATCAGTGAGCCCCCCTACATTCACTGAGACTTTGGTGAGCACTCCCCAGGCCACTTTCTCTGCCACTCCAGAGCTCAACATCCCCAGAGCTCAGGAAGGGAGGCAGCAACTGCTCCCAGGTTAGCTGGCAGCAGCCACAGGCCACTAGAGCAGCATGTGCTGGGCGACAGCTCCCTTCATCTGTGCACACAGTGCTCGGTGAGATACTCAGAGCCTTACAGGGGTGTCATCCTGAGCAGGACCAGAGGAGGGATGAGCTGAGAAGAAAAGTAGACCCCAAAACGTTGCACAGAGCATCTGGGCACAGGCTGTGAGGGCAGCGAGTGTAAAACCACGCGAGGGGATTAGCAGCTGTAGAGATTGTTGGTATCTCGCCTGCAGAGCCATCAAAGGCACCATTCTTAGCTGGCAGCATTTTTTTATTGCAGCTGCCCCAGGAGAGAGTCATTATTTGTTTTATTGGCCTCTTGGATTGCTGTGTGGTGGAGGCTCTGTGCAGAGGGAAACTTCAGCACATTAAGATTTCCTTCTGGGTTGAAATCTTGGTTCCAGGACGTGAAGACTTTCACACCTCCACCCTTACTGGGGTTTGCACGTCCCCAGCTTGCTGGGACACCAAGCAAGAGCATCATCCCACAGCACTGGACACATCTGCAGGGAGGGGTGTGCCTTCCTCCCGCTGCCAAGAAGCCTCTGTGGCAGCTGCAGTGCTCAGCAAGGGACCTGGTGAGGGATTTCCCTCACACCAGGGAGCGTGGAGGGTGGATTGTGCTGGTTTTACGGCGCTGTGGAGCTGGTGGAGCAGTATAAAGATACGGGAGCACAGGGAAGGATTAAGGCCAATGGACTGCAGCTCTCTGACTTCCTCCAGAGACAACTCTGATCCAATCCAGTGTATTAAATCTGAGCAGTCAGTAGAGATACACACTCTGAGTTCCCTTTTCCAGGGTCTGCTTGTCTTGCTGTCCCACGCTCATCCTGCACCTATGGGAAGGTGTGGGAAGAAGGATAGTTGATAACTTGGAGAGCTCTTCAATCAGTGGCATTTGCTGCTCCCGATGGCCTCTCTGCCTACTAACCCATCTCAGCGAGACTGATCCCATTTCTCCAGATGATTGGCATTTATAATAAATAGAGAGGAGAAAATCCAGAGCCCAGAGAGAAGGCTCAGTATGTTTCTGGATAACAGATGATACCATATACAAATACACAGCCCTCTTTCCCCTCAGTTTTGGTCTGTGTTTTGCCTGCTTAACACATTCCTTCTTGCAAGTAGAACACGTTCTGACAATTGAATAGTGAAAGCAATTAGAAACAGAATTAATTGCTAAAATTAAAGCCCTGCTTTCCTTATGTTTGTCATATGACTACAAATATTGTCACTCCCATTAATATTAATTAATATAATTATCAATGTTTCTAATCCCTGCACATTTTGTTGAAAAGTTACTCTTAGCTCAAGAATATAATTGTTAAGTCGTGGAAATGTTAAGTAGCAGCTAAGCAAGTCCAAAGAATTAATAGCAAACTGTAGTTTATCCAGGGATTAGACTTTTAGCAATACATAATCACCTCTTCATGTGTTCATCCACATAAAATACCTTCCATCCCTCACTACACTTCTGCCTACTTGTCCTTGCAGAGCAGTTTTCAAGAATTATTAAAAAAAAAAAAAAAAAAAAAAAAAGAGGGAAGATAGTAAGTAAATATTCTTTGCAGTTGCAAAACCTTCTTCAAGGTAAGTCACCGCACTAAGAGTTATGTGCCCTCAGCTGAAAGCAATGTCAAGGTCAATTATCTCACGCTGAAAGCCCTAATGCAAGAGACTTTTGTGATCAGAATAATATATGTAACATTGCAAAGCCTTTGTTTTGGGGTTGAGGAAAGCAATTCCACTCTCTCTCTCCAGGCTTCCCGACGCGTTGTGTCTCGGTTTTGAATGTCACAGATTATTCCAGTCATCCAGAGGACTGCCTTGCCACGCTGCTGCCATTGGAAGAGCTTTTCCTGTGCCGAGGGCACCGGGATGTGGAGCAGAGCCTTTCCTTTCCTGCCACCTGCCCAGTTCCTCGATGGACAGTCAGCAATTCCTGCCTGGCAAAAGCATCCACAGCAGTCATTCTACGTGGAGTATTAATCAACTCTTTTGGAAAACAGCCAAAGTGCTTTAAAGGCCTTTGTTGTAAGTTGGAGGTTTGTGTTTTTTTTGCTGCTAGAAGAGAATAATGTAATCATTTTGCTATTAATTTTTAATTGTATGTTGCTATGCTTTATTACCAATCTATACTGATTTTCCTGAGAGAAATGGGGATGCTGTGCAAGTGGTATCTGTCGGGAACATGTTGGGCCACACTGCAAGAGAAGTGACAGGAAAAAGCTGTTCTTTAAAGTTATTGCAGTCACCTGCTGCTGTCTATTCCTACAAGGTATCACATTAAATACTTCTAAAACGTATGAGCTTAAGAAGATTCATGGAGAAGTGCCACAGTTTTCCCTGTTGTCAGATGATTTTCTTTGTTTTTATTGTGTTTTGTTTCTTTGGTTTTTTGTTTGGTTGGTTTTTTTTAATGGCCAGCCTTTGCAAGGAAAAGTTACTTCTGAGAAATCTTTTGCAAGCAGACCAAACTCACTGACACGGATGAAATCAGCAGCAAGAGTAGGAAATACTTATACATGAATTCTTCTTGGAAGACAATCATTATCAAAAATGCTAAGATTCAGCCCACTGATACAGTAGATACTGGTAGAGAAATGATTGTATCACTCCCTTGTATCCTTCATTTCATCTAAGAGAGAGCTGGCCATGAGGGGACAGGAAATCTTTAATCTCCATTTCTTCAAATATCTGGTTCTTATCCACCCACATTGAACACGAGCCACACAAAAACTTAACGACGAGTCCTCCACTTAATAAAACAAATGCAAACACAGCACAGACAGTTCTCTAGTGTGAGATGGATTGATCACAACTAAATATTACATGGGAGCAAGTCTGCAAAGCAGTTGTGGAAAGGCAGCATAGCTGTAAATTCAGGAAGAAATTAATTGGACAAAAAAAAAGTGTGTGTAGAAAGTTTACACTATGCAGGAGTGTAAGTGGCAGGAGGAGGGTTAGAAGGACCCTTCATCTCTTCACCCCAATACCTGAATATTATCCTTTGCCAAGAAAAATCATGGCTTTTTTTCTCTTGAATCCCCAATACTAGTTATATATTTCTAAACAATACTATCTTTGTTATGTAATAAACAGAGAGGAGATTGTATTATGTTGTATTCTATAAGGTATAATGCATATAATATATATTCTATAATATTGTATTAATGTAAATAATATGTAAATATAAAGTAAATAATATATATTCTATATATATTCTAGAATATCTACAGAATATATATTCTAATATATATAATATATATTCTAATATATATATAATATATATTCTATAATATAAAATATATAATGCCTATAATCTATAGAAATGTTTGTCCATACTTTCATTTTATAGATAGTGAATAATTGGTAAAAAGTGGTAATAAACATTTGCATAAAATAGTAATAATATTTATTAATATCTAGTAAATTACTGATCATTAATTATTAATTAACAATTAATATTTTATAACCTATTTATTGGTGGAGATATGTATAGCATATTTTAATATATTTTACCAATTGTTTACTATCTATAAAATAAATTTATAAATTTATATCTTAGTTTTAATAATTACAAACTAGTATTTAATAAAATTTATTGTATTTTTGGCGGATATTGAAGGTCGCCATAATTTTTCAGACATCTGAGAAATTCTGGTGAGAATTTGCAAAGTTTGCACCCAATTCAGTTAAATCAGTTTTAAAATAGATAAATGGGTGCTTTTCTTGAAAAAGAATTAGACACATTGATTTTCAACAGAAAATTTCTACCTGATCACTTCCAAACTACAATTTTAGTCCTGGCATAATCATCAGTGAAAAATGTGCCTTTGCCTTCTCCACATCCAGTTCTGCAGGATCTCCAGGACTGGTTCAGGAAAACTGAAACATTCCCACTAGGTCCAGTAAGCACTTTTCCAAATAGAGATTCTTTCCTGAGCTGGGGCCAAGAGAGGTCAAGTAAAGGGAAAACCAAAAATGCAGGTAATGAAGCAACTTGCCCATAATTCTGCAGCAAATTGGAGATCAAACCTCTCGCACATCAGCCAGTCTTGTTGCTCAGTTAACTGGGGTTTTGTCATTTTTGCTACTTCCTTCTTTAGGCCAAGAATTCTTATTTTTTTTTTTAGCTTACTTACAATATCTGATGAGGCAAATCTACCTCTCCTGTTGTTGTGAGCACAGACACAGGGCAGTCTCTCTCCTTTGCATTTATCATTCCAGGAATTAGATTAATCAAAGTATATTATTGTAAAACATAACATACAGTATATTATTAATTTGGATTATCCTGTTGCTTTGCAGTTTTGAAAAAATGAAGCGAGAGAAAAAGCTATTGCATTTGCAGTCACCTTTGGTAGGGAGGTTCTGTTGTTTGAGATATTTCTTTCCATCTACTGCACCATCATGTCTCACTTTCTGAGAGCTATAGATATTTATTCAGTGCCCTTCTATCTTGGCCATCGTAAATAGCTCCCTGATAACAAATCACACTCTCTGAGCATCATTTGCTACCAGAAAGGATCTTCAAGAAGCACATGCTCTGTGACACAGGATATCCCCCTGCTTTGTTGTGAATGCCATAAAGAGTTTCACAAAATCAGCTTCCTTCCATTTTGAGGATAAGAATGTATCATCTTTGTAGTGTTACCACTTCTTACTGCCTGTTTAGGCTTCCTACTTAGTCACTGCTCCCTTCCTCTTCAAATGAATGCTGCTACTTAAATACAGAGAACGATATGTGCTCATTGAGAGATTCAAGGATTTCAGCTATCAATAGAGGCTTAATTATCTGCTGGTGGTGCTCAGGTACTCTGTCGATGGCTGTTGTATAAAGCCAGCGTAAAAGGGACCACTCACAGCTCATCATGCACCCTGATCCAACAATTTAGAAAAAAAAAAAAATTTAATACATAATATTAACTTGCATCTTACTTCCCCCTATGTCATAACCCATCATGTAATGTTCTGTTATTTCGTGTCATGTCATGCGTAACATGATGCAATGCAATGTCACACTTCAGAAAATATTACTAAGCGAGAACTGATTCTTGTTATCAGTTCGGAATGCGAGCCTCTGATCCAAACCTATTGTGGCTTCAGCTGATGGGAAGGGATCAAACTGAGAGCTACGATGGGCAAATGTTTTTCCTCTCCAGTTTGGCCAGCAGATGTCCACTTGTCAGGTTTAGGTTGGATAGAAATTTCTTTGTCACAAGCGCTTCCCCTTGTAAAAGAAATAGTAATTTTATGGCAAGCCAAAAGCTGGGGAAAAAAGCCCTTAGAAATACATAATAAATGTATATTAGTGAGACAGAAAATTGGAAAATGGCCACCTGCCAGCAGCCACATAAATTTTGGAGGCAATGCATTTTTCTGCCATTATGCATTATCAGAGGAATTGCAAATATTTATTAAAAGTATTAAAATGGTGAGAATGTTAAATGTTTCCTTCAGTAGTGGAAATTCGCAGTGCCACATAGCAGATAGGATATTCTGATATAATGTTTATTAAAATGACTTCATTTTATTAGACTGTCGTACACAATAAATGTGCAGGTACAGTTAACAAAAGATCTATTGTGGATACGGGAGATTTGTGAGTAACACTTCAAAAAAATAATCTCTTCTGAACTCTATTCATATAAAAAGCATGCTACAAACTTTCATTAACTTCCTTAGAACCAATTATTTTCTGAGCTTATTTCCTTTTTCTGCCACCCCACTGTATTTTGTTAGTCAGTTTGTTTGCTTACGTTTTAATGCTCAAAGGGATTAAATGCAGTTAATTTATATACTAGTAAGTGGAGTGTACATATGTAGCAGGCAACCAAATATTGCCATTATTTTGGGGTTCATTTACAGGTCTAAACATGAATGGATTGAATGTATTGGGACACCAGTATCTTTTCATCCATGAATAATAAAACATTATTAGAAGATCGGTGGGAGCTCCATAATATTGAGAAGAAATCCCATTCCAGTGATTCCAGCACATTTTCTGCTGGAATTAATTGTGGTGATTTTTGTTCATAAGGTTCTGGTTGCAGCAAGATACGGACACAGTGAACACCACTGATGTCCCAAAGCCTCACAGGGTAACTTTTCTGGTTGGCTTTGCCCTTTCCAGGAGGGTCTGAGCACTGATGGGAAGAGTGGCACAATCCCTACATGAGCAGATGATTTGAGCAAGTGAAGGGTTTAGGTCTGTGAAAAGCCACTGAATAATCAGCTTTTGGGACAGAGTTGGAAAAGAGCTGGATTAGAAGGGATACCTTGAGATAAACAACGATCACAAGATTTGAGATGAGATTGTTGCTGTTGGAATGGAAACAACCCCCCTTCTGCTCTCAGCAGTTCCCTGAATCAGCAGTGAAGGGAAGGAGTGAAATTGTGAAAATAGCAAAAGCTATTGCCTTCACAACTGAAAGTGTCATCTCAGTAGCTCTTAAAAGTCTTTATTTTATTTTAAGAAATTATCAAATAAGAAACCAGTATTGTTTGGGGTTTTTTACATGAGGGTTCCTCAATTCCTAATAATCCACTAAGTAAGAGGTGCAGTTGGAGTCTATGTTGTAGGCAGAGGGTGAATAAATCAAAGTTACAAGATCTTAGATTTATTAAAAGCTTTATGCAAAACAAACAAGCAAACCAACCTGATTCTGAAAGGTAAAATTTCAGAAATAAAGAATTTTTCTCTCTGCTTTTATATGTTGCAGTTTTATTCCTTCCTGACAAACACGGAGTGCTGGCGGGGGGAGTAACTTTCATGAAAAATAACACTTTGATCCAGACACTTGGGAAGGATTTGTGGAATATCAGATGTGGTGCGTGGGATGTAACACAAAATGCGTGTGTTGGACAGGGACCTTGGCCACCTCACAGGTAGAGGCAGATCCTCTGTTGCCTTTGGTGGGGGGCAGGTGTGACACCCCCTCCCTCCCTGCTGCAGAAAGCCAGAAACCTGAGCTGAGATTTGCCCTGTCCAAAGCACTTGGATAATTCAGTCTGCGGAAAAAGTGGAGTCAGCACTTCAAGCAAGGCAAACCCATTTGCTTGGCCAACCTTATTTAATATGAAGCATGTTTTATCTTGATTTAGGTGGTTGTTGTTCTTTAATTAAAGAAATTATAGGAGGTCATTCTCATTAGTAGAGAAGAGTCCTCACAGAAGGGGTTTGCACTGATTTAACCTCAGGGTAAGCTGGCACAACTTTTGCATGTAAATAGGATTTAACACTGGACACTTTGTGTATAATCCAGCTCTTCACTTGTGACATTCAAGGAATACTTGGAATACTGACTGGAATAAAAAGATAATGATGATAAGCTGGGGTCTTACCGTGAAATTTGCCAAATGATCTGCGGTGGCAGCCCGGAGCCGCTGCACCAGCGGGGAGGGGACACCACGGGGCTTTCTGCTGGGGGCAGTCCAGGCAGCACTTCCCATCCCTGCATGATGACACGAGGAGATATTGTACTCAAATCCCACTGCTCACGTCTGGCCAGATGGAGGGCTAGCTGAGGGGCACAGAAATTGGGCAGCAGGAGGGGAAAGCAAGGTGTTCCCCCACTAGCCGAGGAAGCCGTGCCTTGGGGGCTGGAGCCTGGCACAGGTGCGTGGTGGCAGAGGGGCCACTACTGCCATTGGAAGGTTTGCTGTGAAAAGGAAAAGGGGGAAAAAAAAAAAGGCAAAAAAAAGCAGTGGCATGAGAAGTGCCAAGCGAATGACGCTGTCTTTAATTGGTACCACCAAGGGCTTTGTGCGGTCAGCACGCTTTTCATGTTTGTAATAGAATCCCCAAATTCGACTGATCTGAAGGGCATCTGACTGTTTTACATTAATCACAAGCCATACAGCAGAGGCTGAGAGCAAGTGGGCAGATACCCTGGTGGAGTAGCACTAAGGAGCTCTCATTATAATCACCCTGCCAAATCAAAAGAAAAACCCTAAGGCTCCTAATAAAGGAGACCACTGGACTAAACAAATTGAACAAGTAGCTAGACATGCATGAGCTTACAACTCCCGGTGTCAATCACGTCCCTCTGAGCCGCTGCTTCTGCTCCGCGCTCCGAAGCACACGCAGGTGAAGCGCAGGCACGGGCTCTACGCACAGGGGAGGTGCCAGCACTCACCCCCCTGGTGCTGGGGAAACGGCTACAGGTGCAGTTTGTAAAGGCACCTGCGAGAAGTCATTTTTAAACATTTAGCAAACCAGCACAGCCCTGAGGACACGGGCAGTGTGGGTGGGGACACCAGCGTGCTCGAGCAGGAGGGTATCTGAGCAGGCTTTTCAGTCTTGGTAGGGTGGGATGTCTACTTCTGTAGGTTCCAGTACAGAAGACATCAAGGAAAGGCCTTGGACCTCACAAATTTGTGTGTCTCTAGGACGGGGAAAAGGTGCAGCACCCTGAAAACCCTGTGCACTTCTCACCTTCCTGCATCTGTTGGTGCAAGTTATTATATTCATTATATATTCCCTAGTGGAAAGCAAAAACAAAACAAAACAAAACAAAAAATTAAAAAAAGGTGAGTTGTTGCTTTCTGAAAAAATGCAGTTGACATTAATGAAAGATCTCCAGAAAGAAAATTCTAAATTTAGAGGCAAACCTACTGTTGGGGTTTTTTTTAGCTACCACCCCTTCTCAAAAGCCATCAGGCAGGAAACCGAGATTTTGAGGTACTCCCTCAAAACTAAAAAAAAAAACCCCAAAAAACAAAAACAAACAAAACAAAACAGAAGTGCCAAAGAGTAAATATCAGGGAAGAAAAAGAAACAAAATTACTACGGTCAGTATTTAGCACAGCAATCGGGGAAATGAAGAAAAGGAAGGTTTCAGTAGGAAACAGATGGACTGAGGCATCAGGTGAAGGCATCAAAGGAGATGTTTCATGGAAAGAAAATTCACACTGAAGACCTGTCAGCTTTTTAAGTATTAGAAACTTTTACCTACCTGCTTTCTGACCATTGTCACACACACTGACAGTGCTGTGAGGGCACTCGTTGTTGTCCCCCTGTCACCATCTGAGGTGACATCTCTGGATGAACCTCATCATGGGTGAGGCAGAACTGGTGCTTCTCTTGCAGGTGTCCTGGTGCCTTTCAAACCTGGAAGGTAATATTTTGAGAAATTATTTTTAAATGTAACCTTTACTTTTTTAGTTAATTTCTCTTTTCCCTGTTTTTGTTTTTTGGTGTTTTTTTTTCCTATTGCTTCTCTCTATGGTTGTTTTTAGTTTTTTTTCCCCCTTCACACTGTAATAAATCAACATATAAATGTACTGGATTATTTCCACCTGGAATGTTGGAAGACAAATAGTACAAAAGATCAGCTTGGTCATTTACCATATTGGTTTAGCATGGTAATACTCCTGGGTGGTTTTTTTTTTTTCATTTCTCATTTCAAAACTGTAAACAAATGCTGCAAGAACAGATCAAACACTCCCTACCTAAGACAGTGCCTTGTGCAATGAAAACATCAAACCTGGTTTTTTAAGACCAAACTGCCTCTCCTTTACTTTTTCGTAGGGGAAAACGCGGAATTTTGAATTAGCCCGAAATTTGAAACTACATTTTTTGCCAAGCAGCAAAACCAGATGCACCCTTAGCCACGTTAAATCACAAACACATACACACATGGAGATGAGGAAAATGCACATTAAATATGAAAAAGTATTCCTTTCAGGCAGAAGATAAACAGCCCTACTACAAATTAGCTCTCGGCCCCGTCAGGTGTGAATCTCTCTTGTCAATACGTACCAAATTCCCTGAGATAGAACCACATGGTCATGAATTTTATTTCTCTCCTGCTTAATTCCTAGTACCACTCTCCCTTGTGGATTTACTCAGGGATGATTTACAGTGGGAAAGGTGACATTAAACACGTCATTGAGCATGCAAAGATGCTGCACTCAAAGCAGCATATGCTTGACTTTGTTAAAAGATGAATGCTGTCAACTCCACAGTGCCCACCAAGATCTGGCCTCCTTTTTCTTCCCAACAAACTTTGAGGAAGATGCAGACATGAGTCTTGACACTGAGAGAAATAAAAGTTAATGTATTCATGACATGATTTCACTTGCAGCCTGATTTAGCAATGTCTTGTCTAGTTTGGATCTGCTGTTGCTTTTCCTAATTTACTCATTGCACAAAGAAAATAAATAAATAAGTGCACTATAGTCTTATTTATCCTTCTTTGGACATTTCTTTACCAGGCAGATGGTCAATTAAGAGCACTAAACAATGACACTGTTTTCTCTGTAAACATTTTTTTTCTAATAGCCTAACAAATGAGAATCTGTGCTGCCATACTGCTGAATACCATCTTGACTTTCTAATTACAAAGAACTGTGTCTTGATAGTAACAATTACAGCCGTAACAATGATGCTGGTACTTGAACAATATAGTTGGAGGCAAAGTGCTTATCGGAATATTCACAAATAAAGGCTTACATTTATGCCAGCGCTGGGGAAGGGAGGTTAAACAGTTGGGGGTGGGGAGGTGGAGAAGAAAGGTTGAAAACATGGGTTTAGTAGCTACAGATGTGAATTTGAATCCAATTACATGAAAGGCAAGGGGGGGACGAAGCATGAAAAGATGCTGTTTCCTTCTGTTTGGCTAATCAATAGGTTAAAGGGTTAGTAAAATTAACATGTTAATAACATTCATTCTGCTATTTATATACTGGTCAGAGTGTTCTCAGAGAATTATGTCTAGTGAGTAATATACATATTATTATGCCTGCTTTTTCCCCATTTATTTTTTTGTCTGAGATGGTGAAATGGTCAGTATTTATTCCACCAACGTGACAGAAATTAGGTTCTCAAGTCTCTAATTTACCCTGCCTTTCTGATTTAACTTCTTAAATCCAACTCTTCCAAGGTCTGGGTGGGTTTTTTCCCTTTTTTTTTTTTTTTTTTTAATGAAAAGTTCCCTCTACCCCAAAGAAAAGGGACAACACAGTCCCTGAGCTCAATACACATCCCCAGCGTTGATATCCCAGGGGAGCACGTTGGCACCGGGGTGCCAGGTCACCATCACAGTGGGAACAGGTTCCTTGGAGGAGGCTCAGCTCCTTCCTCCTGCTCCTTTGTCCCCCTCTGCACCTCTGGTGCCACAGGGCCCCCCACCCCTTGGCCCTGCTCTGTGCCCACAGGCAGGATGGCTCTCGCCTGCTCCGCTCACCCCCCCTTCCCACAGCGCTCCGCCCGCTCTCCGAGCCGTAATTTAGCCCACACTTAATAATCAGTGCACATAATTTGTCTCTAATGCTGTCAATTTAAGATGGCAACCTGACTTTTTTTTTGGAGGGGGCAGGGTCAACAATTTAATGAATCTCGTCTGCATTTTAATTCAGACCTAATAATCTGCCTCTGGCAGTTTTCTTAGAAAAGCACAACGTTTTCCAGGATTTTCTTTCATCAAATCCAGCACAATGGGATGTTTACCTTCCTGCCTTGGACATGCTCAGCCCGGGGTAAGTCACATACAGACCTACCTTAATCAAACTGGGACATGGACTAAATCTACTGATTTGGCATTTGAAGAGTTTTCCTGGGGAAAAGAGAAGGAAAGAAAGAAAGCAGAAGGAAAGAGAAACTTGGGACTGTGCAGTCCCTTTTCCGTACAGATTGGTGCAGATTGTAGGCAAAAAACCACTACAGACTTCCATGGTTCTCTGCCCCTCCTGGAATAACTTGACAAATGGTTGGAGCATCCAAGAAGTGCTTTCTTGATTTACTCCTGTGCTTTTCCTGGACAGTAAAGTCCAGCAGGAGGGAAAAAAATGTACTGAAAGGAAAGAGGGGTGCAGAAAATTCAGTCCTCCTCATGAAGCGGCGCGGATGAGTTTGTCTCACTGCCTGACGGAGCAGCTCAGCTTGGACTTCCCTGGGTCAAAATAAATAAAAGTCCCCAAACAAGAGGCTCTGGCTCCCCGTGTCAGATGTAAACGGAACAGACTTTGTTATTAGGAGCGATGTGCCTTTGCCCGGGCGAGGGCTGCGCTGACAGGAGCCCCTTCCCGGATTTCAGTCAGCCGCTGTCACTTGCCTTGACAACACGGGCAGTTAATGTATTCACGGCGTTCCTGCACACGCATCTGCAATTCCCAGCATATTGTATTGTTTACCCCTGCTCTTCTGTAGTAGTGCGTGTAGTAATTTGCCTTCCAGCAGCAGTAAAAATTCCTCAACTTAAAATTTTACCCTCATCTTGTTTTGCCCTTAATAGAAAGCCAGCCCCCGCTGCAGCCCTGCCACCAGCAGAGCTATAGCGCTCGGCAGCACCACAACCAGAGAAATGGCATATTTCACATTCCCATCAGAAGTGTCTCCTATATATTTTTATGCATATCCTTCATCTATTCTCTGCCACATGTTATTTTTTTCCCCTTTAGCAGCTGCTTAGCATATTTTATGCCTTCTGGACTGGTTCTAAGCAGCACTGGAAGGGGCATTCCAGCAACGTACCTGAGTACTGACAGTAACAGCAGAGGGGTTTTATGTCCCAAATTCCCTCCTAGTGCTGGTACTCCTGTCTGACAGCACAACAAGGTGCTTCTGGGGCAGCTACTGCGTCGCAGTCCCACAGCTGAGTTTTGTGGTGAGGAGTTAGCTGCCATTTAACTGATTTACCACTCATATTCATTATTGTCCCCGACTGCAAAACCTGCCAGATTCAGGTGTCTGTCCTCACCACATATTACAAGGCAGCCCCATCTGCCACACCAGAAATACCACTAAGTCTACTCCATTTTCCAACCTAAGCTCCAAGCTGGTAATGAAATGAGACAGAAGGCCAAATTCCCATATCCTGAGACGCTCCAGGTTAAACGTATCATTTCCTGATACATAAACATCTTTCTCTAGGAACTTAAAAAAAAAAAACAAAAAAGAAGATAAAATAGTTCTCTTAGTTCAGGCATCTCCCAAACACAGGGGTAAGGTCATTAGAAAGACGCAATGGGAAATGCAGTGAAATTCTCTCATCTCAGTTGCAGGTCTACATTCAATAGACTCGTGTTAATGCCCTTTGCTTTAGCTGCTGTAGTGTCAGAGGGATATAATCCAAGCAGAGTCACCTGAAGTCGTCCATAACACGCTACTTACTTTAAATTCCTTTGTCTGGTCACAAATGTCCAGTTCTAGCTAAAAGCTTGAAAGTGAGACAAATGGTAAAATAGACACTTCAAGAGAATAAAATTGTGAAGTGCTCAGGTAGCACTGTGGAGAAGGGAGTTTCAATTCAGAGGGCTTTCCAGATGAAACAGACAATTAAACTCTTGTTGTAAAGAGATTCCTCCCTCCCCGTTTTTCTATTTTTTTTTTCCTCCTTTTTTT